GGGAGAGAAATCTAAGATGGGTTGTGGTAGATGTTTGACAAACCACAGATACAACAGGAGAGAAGAAAGCTCACAAAAATAAGCAGATGTGTCAATTGACCAAAGGAAAAAAACTGATAATTTGAAATATAAAGAGAGGGAAAAGCAAAGCAACATTCATCACTATGCAAGGACTTCCTTTTACTGGATAATTGACACAATAATCCACCAAAACTGATAGAGTTTACAGAAAAACTGGCTTCCTGTTTAACATCTCTAAATATTCCTGTGCTTGCATCTTTTCTGTAATTCCTATCCCTCCGTAGCATTCTTGCTCTGAAAGAGGACACAGTGTAACAATATTAATGAAGTTATGACCATGTGCTAAGTGCAAATTCATCCAAAATGCCAAGCCAAATATGTGTTTGCTTTTGATTACAGGAAGGAAAAGAATGAGGCATCCCTTTCTCTCAAATTCTCAAATCATAAGAATTTCGGAATTATAACTTGTGGAGGACATAGAACCATTACAGATAAGGACACATTTTTGTGAATGAATGCTCTCTTCAAATTAATTTAAAATATAGAACACTGTCTAACTGAAAATATGTTTAATATTTCTGTTTCTGACTGATTAAGGGCGATCTCAGGCCAAAAGAAATCGTGCTAATTCTTGGGTGGAAATTAAGGCAAGGATGTCAATAACATTTTCAGCTTTTGTTGTAAATTTGAGAGTGGGAACAAATTATCTTGGGGTAAGATAGACTTACTTACTTTCCTGACTTACTTTCAAGTTACCTTTTACTACCTGGGACAGTATTATATGTACGTCAATTTTGTTCTTGCAGTGAACTGCAGACTGAAATGCTCTTATAACATGGTAAAGTTACTCTTCTTCCAAAACAAGTACTAGATCATAGAGGTTGTTCCTTTATTTCCAATATTGACTAAATCATAAAATCAAAGAATGGCTTGGGTCAGAAGGGACATTAAATATCATCTATGTCCAACCCCCTGCCAGTCCTATCCCATCCAACCTGGCTTTGAGCTCCTCCAGGGATGACATCTTTTACAGTTCACTTGTTGACTGACTGTGAAACCCCTCCTGCTGTATTAACTGATTTGTGCTAAATTCTGTGATGAGCTCTAAAGGAAATGAACAGTTCAATCTCATAAATATCTTTCATTCCATCACTTAATATCCATAATAATATCTTTGTGAATACAGCGATAGCAGTAATTCTACTCTTTTTGTAGGACTTTTCTTCACCATAAAAAGATTACCCTATCCATCACTATCACACTTATTTTTCATAGTATCAATACCACACAATATTGAGAAAACTGCAGACCATATTTAAAAGTACCTCATTTTTAAATAAAGGTAGATAAGTCACACCCATATATTAAGTGTTTACATGGAGTTAGTCAAATTTACACTGCTAATCAATACAATTGCATGCTTTGCTCATTAATGTTACTTATTTTTTGTACAAGCTTAAGGAGAAAACTCTCTTCTTTCTAAAGGAAATAGTAACTTTTAATTTTTTTTTAAAATGTGCCTTAGAAAACTCAGCCTTACTTTTTGAAATTGAGGCTGAGCAAAGCTCATTTTATAGTTTGCCCTTAAGCACAAATGAAAATCTAGATTTACTAGGAAGTTCATTCTAGAGAGGATGCAAAAACTAGAGTTTGCTTATAAATTAGCTAAGCAAACAGATTTTTTAGCCTCTAGAATGAGTATGATATTTTGAGTGAAGTCAGTATGACCTATTTTCAAGTACTTGAGATGTTTATCTAAGTGAAATGTGAAGTGATATCTTAACAAGAGAACATTGAGTGGAAAGAAACTTCAGTGTAATGGCAGAAAGAATATATGTAATGACTTTATTTCTCTTTTACATGGTAGGAGAAAAGTCACTGTACTGCTGTTGTGCAGACTGTATTCTGCAAACTCTTTAAAATAAACTCAGGCTAGTATGAAAATGATTTGGATAAATCAGTACTTTAGGAGCAGCAACCCCAAAATCCCAATGTCTAACACAATTGCTAAAGGCTATGCTTGACAGACAATTAATAATTTCATGTAAGGCAATCTCATTAACAGAATTTCTGAAAAGTCATGTGCAGCATTTGGATTCCTAAAATAAAGAGAAATCATTGACTTTTTTGTGTAACTCCTATATCACCTGTATATAACAGAGAAATCTTTGACAGTAGGAAACATTTTTACTCTGCGAGGATGCAGCTGGTGTTTCCAAAAATATCATAACTGATCTACCAACAAGGTACCCATGCTCGATGCATGGTTTTTGAAATTTCTGGCTGTCTGAATTTAGCCTATTCAAGAATCATGGTCATTGAACTTGTCAATGAACTCGAGAATCAGAATACATCACTGCTGCCTGAATACAAATGTAATGGTCTTACTAAAAAAAAAAAATAAAAGTGTGTATTGACATCTAAGGAGTAAAACTAAATAATTACATTAAAGCTGTGGAAAAAAAAATCTTTTCTTTGTCAGTGTTGTTAGTTATGCCTGCTCCATGTATTTACAACATCAAGGTGTCAGTTCTTCAAAACAAGCACAAAATCCCCTCATTAGGAGAATGTAGCTATTTACATAGCTGAGGTTTCTCTGAGAGGATGGCACTTTTCCAGGTTAGTCCTAGTATGTTTTACTGGATGTGAAGCTTTCCAAAATGAGAATCAAAACATTGCCTATCAATGGTGTGAACTGAAATATAACCCAGCATTGTCTGTAAAAAAGCTCAAGTAAGATCTCGTCATGTAAATAAACTCAAGCTCTACTTAGCCTTCACTATGAAGGTTCATGCCAAAAGAACAACGATGTGGTTAGACAAGAGCACCTTATGCATGAAGAGCTGATGCAG